TGTACACCTGAAACTAATATTGTATTTGACTATATTCTTTTTTTTTAAGATATATTTTATTGATTTTTTACAGAGAGGAAGGGAGATAGTTAGAAACATCGATGAGAGAGAAACATCAATCACGGCTGCCCCCCCTGCACATCCCCCACTGGGGATGTGCCCGCAACCCAGGCACATGCCCCCGACATTGATATTTAGAGGGAGTGGAAGAGAAAGGCAAAGACAGAGAGAAATATCAATGTAAGAGAAACACATCGATTGGTTGCCTTCTGCACACGCCCTGACCAGGGCCTGGCCCAGGGAGGAGCCTGCAACTGAGATATGTGCACTTGACCGGAATCGAACCTGGGACCCTTTGGTCTGTAGGCCAATGCTCTAGCCACTGAGCCAAATTGACTAGGGCTGTTTTTATTAATTTTAAAGAGGGATAGAGAGAGAAGGATAAACATTGATTGGTTGCCTCCTATACACACCCTGATTGGGGATTGAACCTGCAACCTAGGTATGTGCCCTGACCAGGAATTGAACCCACAACCTTTTGGTGTATGGGACAGTGCTCCAATCAACTGAGCCACCCAGCCAGGGCGCAACTATATTCTTTAAAAAATAATACATGTGATTGTTACTATAAGAGCCCACAAGTGAGAATCCAGGTTCTTCTAATTTCCAGGGCCATTTTCACTTCATGTATGCATTAGTCTCCCCCATCCACCTTCCACATCTTAGGGCCACCCACCCTTTGTCATCCAGACATTTGCCTTCCATTTGATTATTACAAAGATAATGTATGCAAGCTTTAAAAAATAACAATTTCTTCAGTTTTTTAAAAATAGGATTTTGTTAGTTAATGTACTTGGTGGGGAGTGGGCAATGAAGATAGAAGGAACAGCATGAGCAAAGGTCCAGAGGTTATGTTTCAGAAGAGCAAGTCCATTTTGGCTTGAGAGTAATTGAAGATGAGGCTGGAAAAATAGATTAAGTTTGTATCACTCGAGGATCTTAAATGTTACATACATTGAAGAATTTGAAGTTGATTTAAACTCTCTAAGCCTATATAGAATAATTTCTATCTCACTGAATTGTGAGGATTAACGACGGAGAGAAACAAACAGATGGGCAAGATATCCTATAGAAGAAACGGAATGGCTGTCTTACAAGTTGAAGACGAAGAGGTGGGATAGAGCAAACCATCCCACCTCTCAGGGTGGCCTATAATTCAAATGGTCTCACTTTTGAGATCTATTTCAGCAAGGCACATATCAACCACCACCAGAGGGAGCTCATACAAAGGAATCAGAGCTCCCAGCTCCACAGGAAAATTGTGGTGAGCAAGTCTGGGCAGGGGTGTGGAATCCTGAACCCAATCCAGTCTCAATGATAGGAGGGGGCATGGATCTAGGTGCCCCCTCTCTGGCTCCTTCTTCTTAGACCCATCTTAAGGACAGGGGTTGGACATGCTGCTACAACCTCCTAGAGCTTAGCAGCTAGCCAGATGTAAGATTTCTGGGATAGGGGTAGAGGATGAGGGCCAGATCTAGTTTGGGGGCCTGAATTTCTGTGTCGCAGGTAAAAAGGGCTTTTCACCAACTCTGCTTATAAGGAGTCCAACTGCTTAGGATACTGGTGCCAGGCAGGTAGTCTATCTAGGTCTGGGAACTGTAGAAAAGGAGCTGGGCTGCAGTGTGAGGATAAGAAAGACTAGGCAGTGCCATATCTGACAATCAGTCATTATAGTGGCATCTATATTGCCTCAGGACTCTAACCTTTAGGTCTATCAGCAGTGGTTCTCAACTTTCCTAATGCCGTGACCCTTTAATACAGTTCCTCATGTTGTGGTGACCCCCAATTTCATTGTTACAAATTGAACATAATTAAAGCATAGTGATTAATCACAAAAACAGTATATAATTATATGTTTTCCGATAGTCTTAGGTAACCCCTGTGAAAGGGTCTTTCAACCCCCAAAGGGGTCGCGACCCACAGGTTGGGAACCGCTGGGTTATGGAGTCTAGCTTAGTGCTTCATACAATTTTTACAAAACCTCCTTTGTCTTCTCCACTAACCCAGTGAGAAAAGTGGGAATTTTTGTGTTGCAGATATTACAGTGAAAGCCTAGAGACATTTAGCAATTTACCCAAGATCTAAAAGCACTCAAGGGCAGAGTTGGGCCCGAAGCAGTAGGAGTGGCTCTGAGGGGCCCAGGAAAGGGAAGGCGGGACAACAGAGCAAGAGCCTTCAGAACTGCTTCAGCAAGCACTGGCTCTAGGCCAGGTTTCATACCCACTGCTCCGGGCCGGCTCTGCTGCTAGGCTCCAGGTTGCCAGCCCAGACGCCACACTCCTACCCTAGTCCCCTGAGAGCCCATCACCCTGGCAACAGCCAGAGAAAAACCCAGCTAAAATATTTATGGCTCAAAACAGTCCAGAGGCTTCCGATGGGGGGAGGGAAAAAGTTGATGTCATCCCTTCTCTGCTTGCCCAGGAAAGTGACTGACATGCAGGGCAGCTGGGTGTGTGGGCCAAACCCAATAGGTCAGGGTTCTCACAGGAGGCTAGCTCCCGACGGCTGCAAGTGTTAATGAAAGGAGGGAGGAGTCTGTATGTGACAGTTGACGGGGCTGGGTACGAAACACAAGCCAGATAAAAGGAGGAACTCAAGTGTTGAACAGTATTGTGTATAGACCAGGGGTGGGCAAATGGGTTCTTAAACTGGACCGGAGGGCCGGAACAAAAGCATGGATGGAGTGTTTGTGTGAACTAATATAAATTCAAAGTAAACATCATTACATAAAAGGGTACAGTCCTTTTTTTTTTTTTTTTAGTTTTATTCATTTCAAATGGGCTGGATCCGGCCCACGGGCCATAGTTTGCCCACGGCTGGTATAGACTCTGTGCTAGGTATTTCACACACATTCCATTTGCTTCTCAGATCCCATTCAGTGGATAAGGATTATCCTACTTTTATGGAGTAAACAAGCCCTAAAAGCACATGATGAGTGATGAGCTAGGATTTGAATCCAGACCTGTTTGGCTTTAACCCTGTGAGCTTTCTGCAAGATTTCATGGCTCTCAAGTAGATATCCTGTATTTGGGGTTGAGCATATGGCTGCCTAGGAACCTAGCTGCTTCTCAGACAGTGACACCATCTCTGTGGCTTCATTTACCAGTGACCAGGATGTCCTATGATTCCCTAGCTCCTTCACATCCCAGGAATTCTCTCAGTTCTGGGTAAACCTGATGGTTTGTCATCCTTAACGAATCTTTTACACAAATACAATGCTTTACTGCTTCAAAATGGTTGTGGCTGGAAGAGGTACAAACAGGTCAAAAGCAGGGACTATGAAAATCTAGTAGTCCCCCTTTTTATTTATTTTTTTGGTAAATCCTCACTTGAGGATATTTTTTCCATAGTTTTGTAGACAGAGTGGAAGGGAGGGCAGGGAGGGGGAGAGAAACATCCATATAAGAGAGACACATTGATTGGTTGCCTTCTGCATGCGCCCCACTGGGGGCTGGGGATTGAAACCTGCAATCCAGGTACAAGCCCTTGTCTAAATGCTGAGCAACACCGGCCAGGGCTGATAGCCCCTATTTTTAACTTTAGGCACTGTTATTTATCCTCCTTGAGCGTCTGTTTTCTCATATGCAAAATGAGTATAATGAAATGGGGGATTAAGTGAAACAGTGCATATAAATGCTTGATATAGTACCTGGTACATACTAAGCATTCAATAAATCATGTTATTTATAGTAATCAAAATATAAAAATGTGCTCAGAGGTTAAATAACTTGCCCAAAGTAAAGCAATTGATTTCAATATCCTTTTCCTGCTAAGAGTAAATCTAAGCTTATTACAATGTCCTAAGCTCAGTTAAAAGGCAGACAGGCTCTCTCACAAACTCAGCCCTTCTCCTTGATCCCTTGTGTTAGGATAAAAAGCCAAAAGGCATTAAAAGAAGAGTGTAATAGGAGAGGTCTCTAACCTCTCAGGAACCTCATTGTAAAACCAGCCTAGACTTTAGGTCACAGGAAACCGGAAGTCTGTATTAAAGGCTGACTTTCCAATCCTTCAAGAGAAATTTTAGGGCAAATAGCTAGCCTAATGTAACTAGAAGGTAATTGGGAGCTCTAAAGGGAAGCTTTGGTTCTCTCTCAAAGTTGATAGAAGCTACTAGAGTGGGACCATTCATCACTTGACCAAACCTTTATTGAGCCCCTCATTGCCAGATATATGCTGGGGAAGGGATACAGTACAGGAGTTAAAGCCCTACCCTTAAAGAACTTTTTGAGTAACTTTAGTAATCAACAAGGAAGAGAAAAACAGGTGCAAAGGTTAAATAACTTGCCCCAAATAAACGAACCTTCTCACTTGGCTTTCCTCAGGCTGTTATGGAGTTGGTGAGCAGCTTCTCTCTAGGCCTCTGGAAGCGTCCAAAGGCCCCCCAGGTTGGCACCCACAACACAGATGTGGCAGGGAGGGAAATAAGTGGTGAGGAATAGGTAGGTGTTCTAGCCAGTTCTGTTGGAGGCTAAGGTGAAGCAGGCAAACTGGGAATGACACAGGAGTTGCCAGTTTATTCAGATTTAGGCCTTGATGAGGATACTGTTAGTCCCCTTCAACATTTAAAAAAATATGTTTTTTATTGATTTTTTGAGAGAGAGGAAGGGAGAGATAGATAGATAGAAACATTAATGAGAGAGAAACATTGATTGGCTGTCTCCTGCACATCCCTCACTGGGGACCGAGCTTGCAACCTGGGCATGTGCCCTGACCAGGAATTGAACCTGAACCTCCTGGCTCATGGGTCAATACTCAACCACTGAGCCACACCGGCTGGGCTCCCCTTCAATTTTTTTCAAGTTCTGAGCATGTTTAACTGTTAGTATCACAGTCCCCTGCAACCCTGAGGACTTCATTCTGAGCCTAGAGACTCTTAGGGGATCCTAATGGCTTTTTGTCTGTAAATCAGACATATCAAAGAAGCGGGTGAGAACATGTTGATCTCTCTGGTGTTTCTCTGTGCTCAGCAAATGCCCTCAGGCCAGCCTTGACAGCAGGCAGCTCTCCCAGTTTCTGGAGTCGTCTGATAGCTGCAAAGACACAAGCAGAAAATTAAGAAACATGAAACTGCCCTATCAGGGGCTTCCCTGCCACCCAGACGGCCAGGCTGCCTCCCTTACAGTCTCCCCAGTGCACAGGAAAACTGCAGTTGTTTCATTCAGTACAAGATTTCTAGGTGCACAGATGAGTAGAAAATACAAGTCCACAGCCTATGAGCTCTCTTTTCATGTCAGTCAAACATACGGACCCTCACACCTTACACTCCAGCCTTGGCCTCAGCTGAGTGATCCAGGGCAAAATCAACTAAACCTTTGGGGGTTTTAGTTATACAAGCTTTAGGACCCACAATTATACAAAAGGGAAAATGCTTCCTGCTCTCCCAGAGATATGAAGATGAACAAAGAGCTTCAAACCACAAGAAGAAGAAGAGGGAGGAGAAGGAGAAAAAGACTTTGGAAGAAAGGGATTGGGGAAATAGGCATCTTCTAGTACCGCAATCCTAGATTCAGGGGTCTATATTTCCTGGCCTTGAGGTGTTTAATCCCAGCCTCAAATGATCAGGGTTAACCACAGAAGAGATACATCCTATGCCAAAGCCTGTAACAGTGTTACCCATCTTTTAAAAAATGGTACTACCATTGCCCCAGTTGTTCAAGCCAGTAACCTAGGAGCCCTCATCTTCTCCCACATCTAATCAATCAACACATTATAGTAATTCAATCTCCTACAAGTCATTTAAAAATATATATTTTTTATTGATTTCAGAGAGGAAGGGAGAGGGAGAAACATCAATGATGAGTCATTGATCAGCTGCCTCCTGCACACCCTCTACTGGGGATCACAACCTGGGCATGTGCCCTAGACTGGAATCAAACCTGGGACCCTTCAGTCCACAGGTTGATGCTCTATCCACTGAGCAAGTTTTGAATCCACTTACTTCTCTACATTCTTACTACTGTCACCTTAAAGAGGTCTTTTCTTGCCTGGACTATAATCCATTCTCTGCTTGGGAGCAAATGAAGTTTAAAAAACAGAAATCTAATCATGCCATTCCCCCTCCCGTCACTCCCGGATTCAATGGTCTTCAGTGAAGAACACAGAATAAGGTCGAGATTCTTACCTTGTCTTGAATCTGGCTCAGTCCTACCCTCTGCCTATAATGTGCTCCAGGCCCTTTCCCAAGTCTTCTACCTAGGTAATTCTTCCTTTTATTTTATTACTTTATTATTATTTTTTTTTTGCTAACTCTTCCTTTTATTTTATTTTTTTAAATATGGGTTTCTTTTTAAAAAATTGATTTCAGAGAGGAAGGGGGAAAAAAACAGAGGGAGAGAGAAACATCAATGATCAGAATCATTGATTGGCTGCCTCCTGCATGCCCCTACTGGGGTTTGAGCCCACAACCCGGGCATGTTCCCTAACTGGGAATCAAACTGTGACCTCCTGGTTCCTAAGTCAACCACTGAGCCACACTGGCTAGGCTGCTCCTCCTTTTATTTTTTTATTTCTTAAATATATTTTATTGATTTTTTACAGAGAGGAAGGGAGAGGGATAGAGAGCCAGAAACATCGATGAGAGAGAAACATCGATCAGCTGCCTCTTGCACACTCCCCACTGGGGATGTGCCCGCAACCAAGGTACATGCTCTTGACCGGAATCAAACCTGGGACCCTTGAGTCCGCAGGCTGACGCTCTATCTGCTGAGCCAAACCGGTTTCGGCTGCTCTTCCTTTTAGATGTCAGCTTAAACATCATTCCCTCAAGGAAAACCCCAGTCAAGTTAGCTCCGTGTTCAGATGATTACAACTGCTATAACATGTTATTTATAAGTTTTATCTGTTTAGTGTCTGTTTCCCCAAATATACTTTTTTTTTTTTTTACAATTGTTTATTGAGGGAGGGAGGAGAAATGGATTTATTTTCCCACTTATTTATGCACTAGAGGCCTGGTGCACGAAATGCATGCACTGGCAGGTCCCTCAACCTGGCCTGTGCCTTCTCACAGTTGGACATCCCTCTCACAGTCCAGAAGTCCTCACTCCTTACCACCCACCCACTTGCTCCTTACTGCTCAGCTCACTGCTCCTTAGCACTGCCGCAGAGGCAGGTGAGGCTCCCGCTACCACGGCTGCTCTTGTCAGCCATGAGCCTGGCCTATGGCTGAGTGGTGCTCCCCCTGTGTTGAATGTGCACATCATAGCAACCAGTCATTCTGATCGTTTCGCTGTTAACCATCACTTAGACTCTTTTTTTCCCCAATGTATTTTATTGACTTTAGAGAGGGAGGGAGGGAGAGATAGAAACATCAATGATGAGAATCAGTGACCGGCTGCCTCCTGCACGCCCCCTACTGGGGATTGAGCCTGTAACTCAGGCATGTGCCCTTGGCCAGAATTGAACCTGGGACTTTCAGTCCGCAGGCTGATGCTCTATCCATTTAGCCAAACCAGCTAGGGGG